GGAAGAGGGGGAGGGGGGGAGGGGGGGGACGCACGCCAGGATGGCAGGCAGCTGGGCCAGCGCGTGGGCCGAGGTGAAGGCCTGCAGCGACTCGGCCAGCAGGCCCTGGCGGAAGTAGGCCAGCCCGAGGCCGGTCAGCCAGCCAATGTGGTCGATGCGCAGGAGCTCCGGGGCCGGAGGCTGGAGCGGGGCGGCCGGGTCCGGCGCGACGCCGGCCGCGCCGAAGAGAGCCAGCCGATAGTGCTCGGCCGCGCCCGGGGCATCCCCCAGCAGGAGCATGATGCGGCCCATGTCGGCGAAGAGGCGCAGGTGGGTGGCGGCCACGGTGGCGGCAAGGGCCTGGCCGGGGGCCGGGCCGACCAGGGCCAGCGCCCCGGCGGCCCGGTGGTACCCGGTGGCCGCGGCCTCCAGCAAGCCGCGCCACTCATTGAGGCAGCCGGACACCAGGCCCAGCAGGGCGAAGGAAAAGTGCACGGCGGCGGCCGGGGCCGAGGCGGCGGCCGGCAGGGGCACCGGCGCCGCGGCCAGGGCCCGCTGCAGGGCATGCAGGGTGGCCGTCAGCAGGCTGCCGGGCAGGGCCCGGGCCAGGTTCGGCCGGTACCGCGGGTCGGGGTCGGCCATGCTGGCATCCCGGGCGAAGTGCCCCTGGATCCGGCGCAGGACCAGCCCGCCCAGCAGGCGGGCCGCGTCCGGGAACCGGTGCTCCGAGAGGATGCACGCCTGGAGCAGGGCCGACACCGGGTCGATGTCGATGGTCCCCGGGGCCAGGGTGGCCAGGTACCCGAGCCCGGCCCAGCAGAGGGGGTTCGAGTGGTTGAGCACGCGCGAGTGTTGCAGCGCCTCCGTGGCCAGGGCCAGCAGCCGGGCCACCGGCGGGCTGGCGAGCGTCAGCCCGCCCGCCGGGCCGACCGCCCGCACGGCCACCAGCAGGTACAGCGCACCGAGGTAGGCACTGGCATGGGCCTGGCCGGTGACATCGCCGGCCTCGCCGAAGAGGGCCTGCGCCTGGCCGAAGGCCGCCTGGGCCTGGGCCAGGTGCAGCGGCGCCGGGGAAGACGGCGCCCCGGCCGGGAGCCGGGCATATTGCGCGGCCTTCACCACGCCGGTGGTGAGCCAGAGCTGGGCCACCAGCCGCACGAGCCCCAGCCCCAGGAGAGTGCGATACTCGGTGGTCTGCTCGGGAGCCAGGCCAGTGGGCATGGCCCCGGCCAGGGCCCGCTCCAGCAGAGCCCCGGCCGTGGCCAGGCACCGGTCGACCACGGCCACCCCCCCGGCCCCGGCGGTGGGGGTCACATCGCCGGCCAGGCCCAGCTCGGCCAGCTGCATGCGCGACAGGCCGAACAGGTCGGACGCCAAGTCATGCAGGGCCGCGCAGGCCTCCGGCGCGGTGGGGCTGGTGGCCAGCTGGGCCCGGCGACACAGGACCCCGGCATAGGCCCCGAAGACGGCCCCGGCGTAGGCGGCCGCGGCCGGGGCCTCGGCCGCCAGGGCGGCCGCCCGCGATGAGGCCGACAGCAGCGCCTCATCCAGGCCCGGGTCCCAGCGACAAATGCCGGCATGCATGGCCGACAATTGGGCCAGCCGGTGGAAGTGGGCCAGCTCCGCGGTCAGCAGGCAGGGCTCCGGCTGGTCGGCGGTGGGGACATCCGCCGGGCCGGTGGAGAGGAAGGCCCCGGCATGGGTGTCCTGGCCGAGGGTGGCCGGCGGCAGGCCGGCCAGCCCCGGCGACCGGAAGACCTCGCAAATGTCGGCGGCCAACTTCCACAGGGGAAGGGCACCGGTGGCCCGGGCGGCCGGGGGGTGCTCCCCGGCGGCCGACCCGCGGTGCAGGTCCAACTCCAGGGCCGCGATGGCCGAGTAGAGGGCCGGCCCGAGGCAGGACCGAGCGGTGACATTGCACCGGCCGCTGGCCAGCAGATCGCGCGCCAGGACCAGCAGGCTCTCCGCCCGGGAGGCCAGCCAGACGGTGGCAAAGCCGCGGCCAAAGTCCCGGGCCAGGGCCGCGGCCGGCAGGTAGGCATGCGGCCCGGCGGCCACCCGCTGGCGCAGGCCATCCGGCAGGACGGAGTGCAGGGCCGCCAGGGCCTCGGTCGGCTGGAAGGCCTCCCGCAGGGAAGCCGCCTGGGAGAGGGCCACGCCGATGCGCAAGCCGAGGACCTTGGAGGCCAGCTCGGCGGCCGAGGGCTGGGGCAGCCACCAGGTCAGGCGGTCGTCCATGGCGGCGGCGGCGGCGGCGACGGCGGCGGTGGTGCCGGGGGCGGTGCTGGCATCGGCGATGCGCAGCGACAGGGACTCCAGCAACTTGGCGCAGGACTCCAGCGACCGGAGGCCGGACGAATGCCGGCCCATGCGCCGGTGGAGCTCGCCGATGTTCAGCCACACCGAGGCCGCGTCCAGCAGCTGGACGGTGGTCATGGTGCCGGGGTCGCGGTCGGGCAGCGCGCGCAGGGCATGCTCCAGATACATCAGGGCCTGGGGCAGGGCATCGCGGTCGCCATCCTTCAGCCGGTATCGCGCCAGCGGCAGCCACACCCAGCTGGCATGGGCACGGGCGAATTGCTCCAGCAGGACCACCGCCTCGGCCGGCTGCAGGCCCGGCTCGGACAGGAAGAAGAGCAACTGCGAGGTGGTGCCATTGCCGGGGGCACCGAGCTCCACGGCCTTGGAAAGACAGCGGACGGCCCGCTCGCGGTCGGCCTCCACCTGCCAGTACCACCGGGCCAGGATGGCCATCAGCGAGCCATGGCCATGGGCCGGGGCACTGCGCAGGGCCAGCAGCACCGGCCCGATGATGGTGGCCTTGTCGGCCGGGGTGCACGGGCGCCCGGCCAGGTGGGCCAGAGCCACCACCGACGCCAGCCGGGCCAGCTGGTCGACCGAGGCGGCGGGGGCGGCCGGGTCGGCCGTGTCGGCCTGGGCGGCGTGCAGGCGCATGGCCGCATCGGCCACGGCCATGCTCCGGTCCAGGCGGCCGATGCACCGGCTGGCCGAGGCCAAGTCCAGCAGGTAGTCCAGCCGGTCGGGGTACCACTGGACCAGGCGCTCCAGCACCACATAGGCGAAGCGGTTGAGGGAAATGATGCGCAGGCAGCAGGCAAAGAGGTACAGCAGCCGGGCCATGTCGTCGGTGGGCCGGGCCTCGGGCAGGGTTTCCGTGCGGAAGAGCGTGCGCCGGAGCTCGGTGAAGGAGTCCGGCACCTCGGCCAGGAAGGCCAGGTAGGTGGACCGGAGCTCCTTCTGCATGCTGGCCAGGGTCCGGCCCTCGACCGCGGGCAGGCAGTCGTCCGAGGTCTCGGCCCACTCGCCCAGGGCCAGGTACTGGTTGTAGAAGGTCGCGATGTCCGTGTGAATGGAGGAGCATGCCAGCTCGGTGAACAGGTCCAGCAGGGGGTTGTCGGCCAGCTGGCCGGTGGCCTCGGCCAGGGAGCCGGCCGCCAGGTCGGCCAGGGCCCGCAGGCAGTTCGACCGCTCGACGCGGTCGGGGATCAGCTCCGGCAGCTTGATCTGCTGCCGGGCCCGGGAGGCGGTGACGATGGCCAGCAGCCGCAGCACCAGGGCAAAGTGGCTGCCGAGGAAGCGCCTTTCGGCCGGGATCGACTCGTGCAGGTGGCCCTCGTAGGTGAGCTCGGCCAGGGGCTTGCTGTCGCCGGTCTCCAGGAAGACCATGGTGGCCTCCAGGGCGGCCAGGCTGTCGGTCAGGTGCTTGCGGTTGCGGACGGCCCCGGCCGGGGCTTCGGCCAGCCGGCGCTGGGCCATGTGAACCAGCGGCAGCAATGATCCGGTCTGGCTGAGGGGGGTTGACATGCTGCGCGGGGGGGGGGGGGGGGGGGGGGGGGGGGGGGGGGGGGGGGGGGGGGGGGGGGGGCCGTGCAGGGGGGGCGGAGGGGAGTCCCACGCACAGGGCCAGGGTCAGCTTCCAGTGGAGGACCAGCGGCTGCATGTCCAACGAGGCCGGGGCCCGGCTGGCCTCGTTGAGCAGGGCCAGGAGCCGGAGCTGGAAGTCATAGAGCGGGTGCTCCTGGGGCAGGAGGATGGCGAAGAAGACATGCGTCGACAGGAGCGCCATGAAGGCTTGGATGTTGGCCCGGCCGGCCGGGGTGTCGTTGGCGGATCCCGGCTCGGCGGCCATGGTCTCCAGCACCAGCTCCATGGCGCCGGTCTGGGCCAGGGCCTCCAGGTGGCCGATCGTCACGGGGAGCATCTGCGCCGGGACCATGGTGACGACGAAGTTCTGCGTGGGCATGGACATCAGCTGCACGGCCAGGAGATCGTCGCGGATGGCCGCGTCGCCGAGGATCGGGTGGGCTGCCACCTCGGGGAAGAGGGCCGTCGCGCGGAGCTCCCCCAGGCATCGGATGGCCTGCGGTCCGGGCGTGGCCACCGGGCAAGGGGGTTAGAGAGGGGGCCCCAGGCATCGGGGTGGAAGTGGAGGCAGGGGCGCACCGAGGCCTGCATCAGCACGGAGAGCCGCTCGACGGGGGCGTCGGCCGGGGCATTGTCATCCAGGGAGAGGATGGTATTGCGCAGGCTGATGGCCACCTCGACGGCCTGGTCGAGGGTGTTGCTGCATTGCATTGAGGGGGGGGGAGGGGAGGGGAGGGGGGGACGGGAGGGTCAGCGATGGGCCGGAGGGGGGCCGTGCGCATGGCGCAGCATGCCGACGAGGGTGCGCGCGCGCGCGCGTGTGTGTGTGTGCGGGCGGGCGGGCGGGTGTCCATGCATGTGCGCGTCGGCATCGGCGACCTGGCAGGGGTGCACACACGCACCTCCGGATCAGGTTGTTGCGCAGGTCCCGCATGGGCTTGAAGAGGCGCCGTCGAGCCTTCACATCGAAGGGCTGCCCGCGACCACGCTGATGCTCCGGGACCTGGGGGAGCTCATTCTCGTGGATGGATCGCAGCACCTTGATCTTGGCTCGGCAGAGACCGGAGTCGTGCGGGTACAAGGCGCCGGCGCGCGTGAGGGTGAGGATGGCATCCTCCAGCTTGCCCTGGTCCACTTGCACGCGACTGAGCAGGATCAGAGCAGGCAAGAAGCGCCTGTTCCGCTTGAGGATCGCCTGTGTGGGGTGGGGGGGAGAGGGGGCACGATTGAAGGCGCAGGGGCTGTTAGGGGACAGGGTGCGCGCGCGCGCGCGCGCGCGTGCAAGAGAGAGAGGGAGAGGAAGAGGGAGAGAGCGAGAGCGGGAGAGGGGGGGAGAGATGCACAAGGCGCTTGTGGGTGCAGGCAACGGGCAGGTGGATGGGCGTACATTGCACCCAGACACGGCATCATCCAGTTGGCCACGGTCAAAGGCCTTGCGAGCGCTCTTGAACACGTCCTTGATATCGGGCAACGGGGCGGGGCGCTGGCCGTTCATTGCCAAATCGTCAGGGAGGCGGGCGGGGCCCGGAGGAACAGGTCGGGGGAAGGGAGGTGGGCGGTGGGGGAGGGGAGGAAGACCGGGGGAAGTGGAGCAGATGGGTGTCGAGAGGAGTCACAAGGGGGGAGGGGGGTGGGAGCGGAGTGTGTTGTCTGTGGCCGGGGGGGGGGGGCCGGGAGATTGGAAGACAGAGGCGGCTTTTCGGGGGGAGGGGTGCCGAGGCGGGGACGGGGGGCGGGACGCGCGCCGGCACTTTGGCGCCCCCCAGGCCAAAAGGGCCCGGGTGACGCAACGCCAGCGTCAACAAGCGGGCGGCGGGGATGCCTCCGGCGTTGGGGGGACGGGGGCGAACGGGGGCGCGGGCCGGCTCGGCCCGGAGACACAGCCGCGCAGCCCGAACGAAGGCGCCGCGCTGCGTGCCTAGGCTCGCCGGGCCCGGCGGGGTCAGGACGCTCCGAGAGCCGGGAGAAGGGGCGTGGTGGAACCCGCGTAGGCATGGCAGCACATCGGCGCGCGCGCGCGCACACGCACACACGCACTCGTAGACGGTGTGTCCAACGTGCCGCCGCCGCCGCCGCCGCCGCCGCCACCGCCGCCGCCGCCGCCGCCGCCGCCGCCGCCAACACAGCAGGCAAACAAGCTGTGGGCGGGGAGAAAAAAGATGGGGATGGAGTCTCGGCCACATCGAGACGGACGGATCACGTGGACGCATGTTGCGCGATTGGCCCCCGCCTAGTAGACCGCCCGCCCGGGCTCGTGCGAGCGCCGCCCAAAGAGGGAAGGGGGCGCGCGCGCGCGCGCGGAGGTGCCCGCAAGATCTCGTCCTCGCCCTCGGCCCATCGATGCATGGGCGTGGGTCGGGCGCGGTCTCGATAAAGAGAATGGGACGGGGATGTCCGAGCAAACACGTCCCCGCGCACGCAGCCGACCAGGCAACAGAGAGAGGGGGGGGGGGACGGGAGGGGACGGAATGCACCGCTGTGCCATTCCTCCCTCCGGAGGAAGCGCCCTCTCGAAAAGGAGAACACAGTAGCGCGCTCCCCCAGGCTGGCCGTCGCGCTGGAAGTAAAGAGCCGCCTCTCTGCGGCTTGGCCCGGAGCAGCCCTGTGGGAGCAGGAGGGGGGGGGGGGGGAAGGCTTTCATTTGGGTGTATTTGTGTTCCGGTCCCATGGAGGGGGGAGGAGGGGCACCGAGGGTGTAGGGCGGTGCACATGTGCAGTGTGGGGGAGAGGGACGAAGGGGGCACCGCCGGCGCACACACGGACATTAGGGGATGTCGGTGACGAGGCCATTGTCTGGGACCGGCTCGGAGGAGCTGGCGGCACTGGTGGTGATGCCGGCGTTGGTGGCGGCCTCCTCGATGCGGGGAAGGAGGGCGTCGATGCTGGACAGAGCCTGGAGGTGGTAGGCGCGGATGGCATTCAGCAGGACGACCAGGCACCGGACAGCGGTGGCGGTGCACACGCGCAGGCAGTGCTCCATCCGAGCCTCGGCGTCGCTGGACGCCTCCTAGCAGCCGAGTTGGGCCATATCCAGGTCGACCCTGGACTCCTGGCCGGGGGAGGGCCAGGGGGGGGGAGGGGGGGGGAGGCATCGGCAAGAGGGCCCGCAGCAGCGGGAAGGCACGAGGAGGAGGGCAAGGGCGGTAACGATCGGGGCGCACTTTTCTCCGAAGGTCCGGTGAGAGGGAGAGACACTGCCGTGCCGCCGCAGAGGGGGGGGGAGGGGGGGGGGGGCAGATGCGGGGGTCAGCTCAAGGTGCCGAGGCAATGCAGGGGCCCCAGCGGGGGCGGGGGACAGTGTGCGCACCTCGGAGGAGGCGCGGTTGGGGTTGACACGGGACTTGACGGCATCCAGTTCGAGGCGGGCGTTGACCGCGGTGCGGCAGGTGTTCTGGGCCGGGTGTTGGGAGGGGGGGTCAGGAAACGGCGTCATGCGAGGTGTGTGCGGGGGGGGGCAACCGAGCGAGAGGGAGGAAGCGTGCGTACAAGGGCGCTGGTGATGAGCTCGAGGGAGTCCTGCAGCGGGGCCACAACCTGGTTGATGATCTCGGCGTTCTATGAGCGCACACACGAGCATGGTGCATGGGTGGTGGGCGGGTGGGCCGATGGACGGTGAATGTGCGTGCGTGTGTGTTAGAGTGCGGCCGGGCCTGCGACCATGCGCGCGGGGTGATCGAGGAGGGGAAATGGCACGGCACGCCCCGGCACGCGTACCAGCTTGGCGTGGGCCGTGCCGAAGGACTCCTGGATGCTGGCCAGATGCTGGCAGGCCTGGGCCATGGCGCGAGCGCCCTTGTCGATGGCGGAATCCGGCATCGGGGTCTCCGGCGACAGGGACAGCGTGGCCTGGGTCTGGGAGATGGGGGCCGTGCCAAGCAGGACCCCGGCCACATGGGAGAACTGCGCGGCCACGGCCTTGGCATGCTGGGCGTTGGAGGTCTCGGCCGGGGCGCTGGTGGCCTGGGCGTTGGACCCGTCAAGGAGGCTGGAGATGCCGCCGATGACGCGCTTCACGGGGACCACTGTGGTGGTGGCGGTGGCGGCGGCGGCGGCGGCGGCGGCGGCGGCGGCGGCGG